CCCAAGCTAGGCTTACGAAAGACACAGGTAAAGAAATGATTTGAACAACAGTCACCGGCTCCTCTTGAACATTCATGGCGTAAAGCTGAATTACAAACTGAGGGGCTGCTTCGAGAACTGACTCAAAGGACACGTAAGGAAATATGTTACGCTGTATGTCATCCTCAGTCATCGTCCTTCTGTGCGAGTCGATTTCATCGCCACGCATCAATTGCTTCAAGTAGAAAACAAACCCTTCCAGTCTCTTCAAAGCGGCTGAAAACGGATGGCAACCACAAAGCAACGTTTGCACACATTTCCTAACGCGAGTGTAGTGTTTAAATTCCTCATCTTCATTCATACAGTACGGTACCGGGAAAAACAAGCATGGCAAGATGACAAACGCGAGTCCCACGCCAAACCATGTCTTGTGATCCGCGCGGTAGAATTCCACCAGTGTGAGGATATCGGTGATCGGGTCAGCAAAACTCAAAATGACTCCAACAAGCAACACAAAAACGCTGTACCACTTCACCTCCATACTAAGTAGAACTTTAGTAACTTTACTAAGCGTATTCGCCGAACATTGTCCATGGATGAATTTGAGAAGCAATAGACTGTTTTCGATATATTAAAATTCAGCTTGGCAGTGAGGCTTAGAGGACACAAACAAAGGAAATTGAATGACCTGTTTATTCGTTTCTTTTATTTTTGTCCTCTTGGCCTTGCTTTGAAACTGAATTTTAATATATCGAAAGTGGCCTATTGTTACCATTGGAAAATAATCCTACCAAAAGTATGCGGAAGAAGTCAGCATTGATATTCGTCTGGGTCTACAATGTCAATCGTATCCATCACAATATTATGATAAGTAATTGGTTCTTAGCACGGTTCCTTTGTCGAAGCGTAAGTTGAAGTGTGCAACATTAAATGTTACTGTAGGAATAACCTACCATTGTCTCTACCATTTGTGAGTGCCAGTTGTTACTGTAGGGATACGACTTTATATTTCTTTACTTTTTTCAACTATTTTCATTATGTACCTAAAATCCCCTATATAGTGTAAATAAGGAATTGAATTGATTGAATTACTGTAGGGATAACCTATTATTGTCTTTACTATTTGTGAATACCAGTTGTTACTGCAGGGATATTCTAGCCCTACTATTAGTGTGTTTTTATAAGTGGTAGATTGTGAAGGAAATTCACCTTGACTTGAAGGGTCACTTTACTACCCATGATGCTTATTTTTTTCGAAAAAGGGATTTAGACCTTTACAGACTGTAATATAACTCTTTTCAGGAGAAGAAAAATATAGAAAACGGTTACTCTAATTAATAACTCAATCGTAACTCAACATAACTCAAACGCAGCTCAAACTAAACTCATTCTCAACTCAACACTCAGTCGACTCGTTATACTATCTGTATCTTGCGTGACATTATCGAATGTAGCGCATTCTCCATGTCCTCGTAGAAATGCATCCTTTTGCTAACATATAAATAAGACGATATTTGACCACCAGATGTACAAAGAATTGTGTCTTCATCATTTATTATTCGCAGGCGACTACAACATCTACTTTCT